AGTGATCACTCAGATCATTTGCAAATACTCCCACAGATGAGTATTTATGGGGCACATTAGTTAAAATGAGATAAATTAGATCAAATGTGTTGTTTTGTGGTTATCTTTGTATTTTGATGGCAAACTAAATATCTTGGACTGTTTGACAAGCAAAACAAGACGCTTAAAAATGACAAAATAGAGTCTGGATAGTTGCATTTGCTGCTATTTGCTGACATTGTATATAGATCATCTGATTGGTCAATTAAGAAAATTATTTTATGCAATAATGACTAAATGTTTTGAAATTGAGTTGGACAGATAAGCAAATCATTCATTTTGGAGTCATTAAAACAGGGGATTAAAGTTGAGATAATGTCTTTATGTTTCTTTAATTGCAAATCTACATCTTGGCTGTGGCCCCTTTGACAGGGAAAGGGGACAGCAGGGTGTTGAATAAACTCCGTCCTGACTCACGGTGACTCACAAGCGCTGAGGCGACCACAACAAAGGACAACAATTGGATTTAAAGATCTTAACCAAATTGAAACCCAATGAATATCAGTGTTTTAACTGGGCAGATTGGGCCGTGTGCCGGGCCTAATGCATGCACACACCTCCTGACAGGCCGGGTACAGATGGTCCGAGCGTGAGTCTGAATGAGAGGGGGACCATCCGCGCTGCTGACGCATTGTGGGGGGACGTCGTCTTCAATACAGCACTTAATGAGAACAGACTGACTCTTTCTCCCTCCCCTCCCCTTCTCCATCCTCCGACCATTCTCCTCTCCCCCTCCTCTCTCTCTGATTCTCCACTTCTCCTCTCCTCTGCCCATTTCCATCTGTTTGGAGACAAAGGGCCACGAGCCAGCTCGAGCCCCGGGACCCTGCTGGTGAAGGAGGCAGGAAGAATACGGCCCATCCCGGGGGCTGCATTTCAACACATGGACCAGGCTTTGTACTTCTGCTGCACGAGCACCCTTCATGCTGCACACACACTTGGGATGTGCAGGCTTCACCTACAAACACACACCTCTATGAGGGAGAAAAGATGGGGCGGGAGGTTGCAATATTAACGGGGGAGTTCTCCCCTTGAACATGAACACTTTCATAATATGTGAAGAATAAAAGCCAGGGCGCAAAAATGAGGCAGCACCAAAAGCCCCAAGTGTTGTTCTCGTACTGTGAACATATGGCTGTTTGTTGTCATACTCTCCCTCCCTGTCCAATTTACACAGAGCTAGTGAGCCCTCAGAATTAAATGTGTGTGTGTGTGTGTGTGTGTGTGTGTGTGTGTGTGTGTGTGTGTGTGTGTGTGTGTGTGTGTGTGTGTGTGTGTGTGTGTGTGTGTGTGTGTGTGTGTACCTGAATGGTGATGAGGAGGATGCCCTGACGCTGATAATGGCCGCTGTATAATCCCCTGCTGTCTGCACACACCTCTTGACATATGGTCACTCCTTGGCCTCCACCATTACATAAACCCACAGTGCATAATGGTGGGGGTGGCGGGGGGGATGTTTTGGTGAAACATGGTACTTTCTCACGCACACACACACACAGACACACACACACACACACACACACACACACACACACACACACATGCAGCGGCCACACTGTCAGCCAGGCTGTTCGCCGCCCTCAGCAGTTTGGGCTTCGCCTGTCACTTTCCTCTCCCCTGCCCCTTCTGGGGGTTTGTAAAGAATAAATTGAAGAGGACTCGTGCTACGGAAGCTTTTGGGATGAGGAGCACAAATGGCCTTGTAGTGCTTCACGGAGACGTGCAGATGGACTCCTCCATTCAATAAGCTGCAGCAGAAGTCCATGTCCACCCCTGCCAGAATCACAGAGCTTGTTTTGTGTTCTGAAGAGGACAATCTGTTGATGCAACATATTGGGCTTCTTTTCTTTTTTTTAAAGACAGAGCTGTCTTTAATATTGGACCAGTCCGGTTGGAATGGTGTCTAATTAGAATCAAATGATGATCAAATGATGATCAAACATTTAAATGAATGGTTTCGTATGTGATGCAAAGTGCTGGAAGAATGAAACAAATATGCCGCCTTTATTTTGTGACTTGCGTGACAGTCTTCTTCTAAGTGACATATTTTAACTGTGTCTTTGGACAAACCAGGAATCAGAATGACATAACTTCTCTGGCTGCAAATTCAATGACACAAAAATGCGTCAAAATGTTACAACGTGAGCGAAAAATGTGCCTGTTTTAGTGTTTGCAACATAAACATACAAAGAAAAAGAAAGGAGAGAAACTGGAAGGAAATAACAGAAAGAGTAGTAGTTTCTGTATTCTGAGTTCAAGCCAGGGCTAAACCAAACACAAACACAGTCGGAGCACCCGTTGCTAGCTAGCCTGAAGCTAACGTCTGAACAGTTGGTGTATTGGCTGTTTGGGGCGAATTAACACCAACAGTCCATTGGTGCGAATGACCAACGGCACACATTTGCTAACAGTGTCCAATGTAGCATTACATGTAACAGGATGATATTTCCCAACATATCTCTTCAGTCTATTGCTTTAAATCTGCCCCAAGCTGCTACTACCGAGCCTCAGAAACTGTTAACACAACATTGACACATTTTCACCTTTAGAGTGTCCAGTATTCTCTCTATTTTAGCTCTGTTTATGGTCTCCAACAACTCCTGAGGGGAGAATATGTCTCTTTAAATGCTAAATACTCCACTATGTTCACTAGCTAATGTAGTTTCTACATGTGTGTGTTTGCTGAGCAGGTTCTATGCACATGGTCTAGTGGGAGTGAAGCGAACAGTAAAGTTGTGTACATTTCAGTATGTCGAGGGATTGCAGATTGAGATTCTCAACTGTCACATACTTGTTAAAAGAATGATAAATTAAAGGCAGCAAGCTTACTCAGTAAAGTCTATTGCACAACTTCAAGTTTTTACCCGCCACAAGCTATTGGACATACCGGAACGAGTAATCCTGCAGCAGCAAGGCCCCTGGTGGTATTGAAATGAGCAAAATTGCGTTTTACTTCTCATGAATGCATCTTTTCATAAGAGGAACCATTGTGCCATATCTTCTATGGAAAGTTGCTTTAAAGTTAGTTTCCAAAAATGTCAATCTGACTTGTACAGCAGCCTTGTCCCCATACAAACTTCCGGGGCCCGTGTGGGTGCAGCTGAAGGTAAAACAAGGTGGATGACTGACAGACTGACAGGCGCCAAATGGAAAAGAAAAAGCACACAGGGGGCCCTTGAGCTGAAAAGCAAAGTACATTTCATGCAACCTTCGGTCTCCACGGATAAAAAGATTTGGAACAGGCAACATGGATTCACTAAAATCACTGCAGCTGCCACCTGAGAGAGAGAGAGAGAGAGAGAGAGAGAGAGAGAGAGAGAGAGAGAGAGAGAGAGAAA